GGTCTGGACAGGGTTTTTGGGTAATTTGGACACATTTTCAGTTCCTGTTGAGCCATCTTTGACTATATCTTCAGTGTGTGAAGCTACAGGTTCTTTCTCCAGTGTTGGTAACACCTGTGGACACCTGGAAACACAATGGACTTGTTGATTCCAGGTTTTTTTCAAATTTAACGAAGTACGTATTTAAAGAAATCTGACTGGTTTCCATCGTTCTCACTGAGTCCTACTGACAGAAGACATGTCTGAGTTCTCTCTCCTTCTTTGTGGTTGTTTGAGCTGCAGGACTCCATGTTGCAGAGAAACATCTGCAAGAAAACGTCCAGAAACTGCTGTTTGTAGTTCAGAGGGTGGAGCTGGGCTGTGACAGCAGTACTTGTACTTGTGAAGGAGTGTTTAGAAGCTGCTGTATCGGTACTTTCAGGGTACTGTTTCTTGTACCTTCTCAGTTTGAAAGCGTACGAACCGATCCCCACTGTGCTCCGTAGACGTTTGCTGTTTTTCTAGTTAAGTGATGTCTGCAGGATTTGGCCAAACCAGAAACATGACTGAATGAAGTCAGACTTTCTCCACAGGCGTTCCTTCTCTTCCCTGTTTATTCCTCCCAACATCAGTCAGACGTGCTCTCAAATCTTCCTCCTGTCCTGCCCTCGCTGTCGTATAATCACGCCGAACTGTAAATATACATGCAGTGGATGTTTCTGAGCTAATATCAGGCCTCCACACGGACACAGCTCCAGATTCTGGGTGAACAGCCACAGCTTTGGTTTGGTTCGGTATCTGAATGTGTCCTCTGTCGGCTGAATGTGTTTCTGTTTATGTGGTGGGTGGGTGGGAGTGTTTCTGGAAGAGCTGCTCGCGTACGAGCCAAAAGTACAGAAGTAGAGCGAGTCGACGGCGCTCCTCAGTGTGCAGCAGCTCAGACCCGATTAATTAAAGAGGCTGCTGGCGTCGGTGCATGAGCCTGTGCTAATGCGTTCATTATGTGTGCATGAACGCTGTTGGGCTGGTGGAGTCGCCACCCTCCACCACACGCTGAAGGACGAGCTGTGCAGCGTCCAGCAGATGTGAGGCCCGGCCCGGCCCGGCGAGGCGGCCCGCTGTTTATGAGCCTCATAACATGATGAGTGTCATTTACTGTCCTTTACTGCAGCTTCTCCGCTGAGCTCACTTTCCTGGCTGAGCCCAACCTCTCCGGCTACACGGAAAAACACTCGCTCCTGTTTGGTTCACTGGATCAAAAACAAAAAGTCAAATACTGTCAAAGTCTGGCAGGAAAGAAAAAGTAAAAACCATGAAACACTGCAACACAAAGGCTGTAAAACTGGTGAAAATAACAGCAAATATCACCATTTAATCAGCTGTTCAAGGAGACAATGTGCAGATCAGGTGATAGGATAAAGATATGATCGATACATATCGACTGGAGCTGTGAACTTTCTGCTTTTTAGCCAAATTTTAAATGAAAATTTTGTTGCAGTTGTGACTTTTGTAGATTCAAGCAGCTTTTTTTTGGTACACTATTTAAAAAACAACATAAAAACTGATTATTTGGCAGAAGAAATAGATTTTAAAATAGTGGAGTACTGTAAGGTTAAAAGCTGTAACAGTTACAGCAAATATCTGTAAAATAATAATATTTTAACTGATTGAACTTTTGTTTTGTGGTCACACATTGTGAAAGAATGAATTGGTATTTCGAAAAAATACAGATTTTGACTTTAAGGTGGAAATTAGCCACAGCTTTGTCCTGATTTTTGTATTTTTTTTCGTCAACGGTTATTTTTTGTGATTTTTCTGGTTCTTATCTGTAATGTAATGTAAAAATCACAGGTTTTCATATTAGCATTTACAGTTTTTGGCCCGTTTTATGTTGCATTCATCATATAAATTAATACTTTATTCTGTCATTTAACCAAACAGGAAGAATCTGTAAAGTTCTAGTTAACTGTTAAAACAATTATCACTTTTACAGCTGATAAAACTGTAAAACTTTCTATATAAACAGGAAAATATGACAAAGAATCCCATAAAATGTTGTTAATCAACAGATAAAGTAGTAAATTAAACTTTTAAATCTAAATGCAGCCCAACAACCAGAGCAAATGAGATGCGATCCGGCTGTACCTCTGCCTCTTCAGCTCCCACGCTGAGCTGATGTTTTCAGCAGAGCAGCGTTTCACACCTTCGTCCAGACAAATGGTGTTGGTTTAAGGACGCCTGCTGGCTGTGATTTACTGCCCGACTCCGGACGGACGCTCAGGATTCACAGGTGAGCCGCAGGAGGCGAGTCCAGGTGTGAAAGGTTTCTGTTTGTCCATGTCGACACGTCGGAGGAACAGCTGCAGGAGCGTTAGACAAAGAAAAGGACTGACGGTCGGTTCTACCAGAGTCTGCTGGAGGTTTCTGTGTTTCAGTGCATTTTCAGAAGAGTTCAGAGGTTTGAGATAAACTAATGCACACAAGCCTTTATTGTGAAGCTCCACATGCAGCAGAATTAGCTCCTCTTTGAGCATAGAAAATACAAATATTAAAACCAAAGGGTGAGAATAAAATAAACACCTTTAATAGAAACACTAAATATGAATATAATATATTTGCAGATCAACAAAAAGTGACAGTGTGACAAAAATCACATAAATAAGAAATGTCTTGGTGCTTACTTGAATTAAGTTTGTAAAAAAGAAAAAAAAGTAGGGATGCACGATATATCGGCACCACATCGGTGTCGGCCGATATTGGGTTTTTTTCCCGATATATCGTATCGGTCCGATGAGGAAATCGAGCTGATGATTGTCTGACATCAGCGCCTTCGTCTCTACGTTTGATATCGCTGCTACTTCACAGATGTTTTGACTTCAATGGTCCTGGACTGAAATATGTTTAAATGTGTTTAAATATGTTTGACTTTTGCTACGTAATAAAGGAAGACTATGTGGTCTGATCTGGGCTTCTTCTGAATAGTTTTCTCACAGTGCTGACTGATGCTCATTTTTTGGGTAAACAAAAACTGAACATCGACATCGGTGATATCGGTTATTGGCGATATCAGAAATCGTAATATCGGATTTCGGTATTGGCCAGAAATTTTAATATCGTGCAACATATTAAAAACAACACAGTAAAAAATACTCCATGCTAAAGGGTTTTGTTCGACCATACGATGCTGTCACATTCAATCACTGTAAAAAACAGAGAAAATACTGACAAACATCTGTAAAATGTTTTGACCTGATTTAATAGAACGGTTTCATTTTACAGTCACACACTGTAAAATGATACATTAGTACAGATTTTTATAATAGTTTTGGCCTGTTTTTGTTTTGTTTTGTTTTGTTTTAAGTGAACATGTAAATTAAGATTTTTGTAAATATTATTTACAGCCACGATCTGTTTACTTACAGGACACATATCAGTTAACAGTTCTGATTAATTATGAGTATTTTCACTGACATTATCTGTAATTTAACAAACAGGGAAAGCAGTAAAACTGTTTTTTTGATCCTTAATTGACATTTTTTCTTTCACATAGCAGCGAGAATCAGATTCTTATGTTTTTTGTTTATATACAGTAAAAAACAGAGTAATTTCACAGTCAAACATTGTAAAAGAAGGAATTCCCATTTATACAAATACACATTATGTACAGTTTGGGGCTTTTTTTTATTTAATGTAACAGAGGAATAAAACAGCAGCTGGTTTCCTGTTAATGGAATCATTCAGTTCGTTTACAACCTGAACATGAAGCTAACTTATTGATAGTCGTCATTTAACAATTAATCACTTATTTATGAACTTCATTGTTCTGAGGAGCTTTTGAGTATTCTTGAACTTTTAAACTTCACTTTAAATGAACTGAACTGTTGAGCTTAAACTTTTAAAGGTGCTTTAATTTGTCTGTTCGCTGTATTAAATGCTCTGGATGTTGTCGGGCCAGGCGCTGAATTTTAAATGAAGCTGATCTATTTCGGTGTTTAGTTTAGAATTCCTGGTGTTTGCTTAAACTGTTCTTCAAATTCAGCGGCTGACGGCGGTTTATGTCTCTGCTGTATTACGTTCACTTTAACCATCTCCATTCATCACTGACTGTTAAGACGGCCGAGTGTCTGTTGGTTCCTCTCTTTGATCACCAGCGTGGACTTTCTATGTCAGAGCATCATTTCTTCATTTTGCATTTTAATTTGCAAGTTTCCCTCCAAACTCTGCCTTCTCTCTCAACAACTATTTGTCTATCTGTAGACTTACTGTCCTGTGTTTGATGACTGCTGTAAACTCACCAAACTGTCAGAATTTAAAACTCTCACGACTTTGTGAAAAAATCCAGTTAAAAGCCCCCAAACAGTAGAATGCAGGAACGGAGTCGACTAATTACCTTATTACGTCTTTTTCTATTTTTATTGTTTTTCATTATTGGCATTTATATTGTCTAATTGATGTTTTAAAAACTTTATTGTTCATTTTATTCTCTTTTACATTTTATTTATTTACCTATTTACGTACGTATTGTACTGATTTGCTATTATTATCATTTTTATCCTTGTGTTTGTGGGTTTACCCTCTAGTTTCTTTCATTCTCCTTGTTCTTTGGTTAACGTGAATGTGGCACTTTATAACTTTATCTCTTGTTGTATTAGTTTATTTTGAGAATCTTTTACCATGATGGACTGACCGGCCTTCTGTTGCTTAATGTTCTTCCCTTGTTTCCTTCTTTTCTTTTGCTTTATCAGTAAAGGACTTTGTAAACTCTGTTTGTAAACGGCGCTATATAGATAAAATTTGTATTTTTTTCCATATATATCTATATGTCAAGGTCCAGATTGGAATTAATTGGGCCTTGACATATCTATGTGTGTATATATATATATATATATATATTTTACTAGGAAACGTGTCTCGTCCCGTGATCTTTCTCTGCAGAGTGTCTTCATATTTTCTTGCGTCTCTTTCCGCAGCCTGTCGGTCGTCTGGACGTCGCGGTGGGTTGATGTATGAGGTCACGATGCGTCGCCGCCGCCTCCTGCTGCTGCTGCCCTGCATCCTGCTGCTGCTGCTGCAGCTTCCTGCAGCTCAGAGCCGACCGGCCACCGAGGACGCCGACGCAGGTAACGGGTTCACCAGGTGTTCGGCAGAGTTTAGCCGGTTCAGGAAAACGTCTAGGATTCTTTAGATTCTACTGAAGCCTTCAAAACTCAAGATGTTCGGTGTAAATGACGCTCACACATTTAACTTGAAGTCTAAGGCAACCTGAAAACATACTACACTATACACATGTTCTATGCACATAAATGATAGAATCCCCACCGAACTGCACTAGAATGTTCGTTTATATGCAGACGATGTTGTTTTATTCGTGTAGTTTAGAGTTGGATGCGAGACGAGCAAAATTCACAGGAGTTATTCTCTACTACGAAAACTCAGATTTACAATGAAAATTATGAATTTAAAAGTGATAAATCTGGACCCTCCTCCATGGACTTCACAGTCTGAAGGTAGAACTCTGCTGCGTTAAACAAAGTTACTGTAGATACAGAATCAAAAGGTTCTGGTGAGGTCAAGATGGCGAAGAAGCCAAATTCAGCCATCTGGACACTGTGAAGTATTTTTTTTTTGTTCTGGTTTCACCTCTTTGTTCTGTCCACTGATGTAAGAGTCACTTACTGGTCTCTAACTGGTGCGTCAGCCTCTTTATACTGGTGTTTGTGGCCCGTCCCGCTCTCTTTTGTTGGAGGCCTCTTTCATGTCTGGTCCCAGCTGTGGTTTCGCTCTCTGCGTTATATAAAAGCTTATAAAACTTTCCAATGAGAGAATTTTCTTTAATAGGAAAGTGACTTCTTCTTCTTCTTCAAGGTTTGGCTGTTTTTGGCTCTCGGGGCATCTGAAGCTGGTTAGGCTGATTGTTCATGGTGTAACCGAGGCTTGGCTCTCAGGGTGCCGGTTATGGTCTGTATATCCTGTCCAGACACGGCAACAGATGCAGACTCAGACTCTCTGTGGGGATTCGGGCCTTCAGAAAACCCTCGTACTGTTTGTTTGTGAGCGTCTGCATGTATATACGTTCTGAGCGCTGTTTTGTTCCGACCATCTGGACTCCAGCTGAGCCTGGGTCTATGCGATACTGTTGTTTTTCAGCCCGTAAATTCTTGTTTTTCTCCCAGTCGAGAACAAAATTTAGCCTCTCTGCTGCCGTCTCTGCTTTCATAAACAAAGCCTGCTTTCAATTTCCCACCTCTCCCGGCCCGGCCTGCCATGAAGGTTTGTGAAATCCAACCACTTCCCTGCCTTCAGCCTCGGCTCGCTGACAAAACGCTGCTCGGCTCGGCTCGCTTCTAGTAAAAAAAGAAAAGCGTCCGGCGCCGTTTGATGTGTTTAACAGAAGCTGCACATTTACAATAATCTGCATTTTCAGAGCCACAACACCAGATTTCACTGTTTCACGAGTGTCTCAGAGAGTCGACTCGGTGTCTGTGTGGATAAAAAAAACCTCCAGTGAGTCGACCAGCTTTGATAAACAGATTTATAGTTCAGATTCTGCAGCTCCAACCTTTAACATGACAAAATTAGCTGCTTTTATTTCTTAATTTCTCTGTAAAATGTACATTTTTGTGTTTTTGAAAACATCCGAGGGCGTCTGCTTCATTATTTTTAGTAATAACTTTAAACAATACAGCTTTACAGGATGCTACAAGCAAAGAAAAAATCAGGTTTTGTTTGATTTTGTGGCGTAAAAGAGTCGATAATGAGGCCGAACAGGTACAGAGTGGAATAAAGTTTTGATTTGTTTTAGGCAAAGTGAAAAAAAGACCGATTCTGCATTAAACAGAGAAGGTTAGTTGTGTTTATTTGCATTATTTCTTTTTAATCTGAACATCTTTGTCCAGACATTTGAAGCTGTTAACTCACATGTGTTTTGTTTCTCAGTAATAATAACTTTATTTGTTTAGCATCTTTCACAGATGAGCGATGAGACAGAACAGACAAGAACTAAGTGAGTTTAATAAGAAATACATCAAAAGACAAAACACACAAATAAAATGATGAAAACTAGACCAAGTTAGATTAAAAGACAAACAATAAAAAACATGAAGATGCATAAAAAATAGAATAAAATGTATAAAAGCAGTAGAATAAAGTCAGAAACATGTGTGAGCCATGTTTATATTATAAATGTGTTTTAAGTTCCTTTGACTTGTATCTGTTTTGAAATGAAAAGACTTTAAATATGATGTGATTTATATGATTTATACGACATAAAATAGACTCTAATAGTTTTAATAAGATGATATTCCATTTGGATCTTCTGAATCAGGTGTTTTCCATTTCAGATACTGATATTGATCAGTTAGTTGGGCTTTTAATCGTAAATGAACCCGAGTAGGGAGTAAATTTATAAAATAATATTGATTAATCAGCTAATATTCTTTACATATTCCAGACTGAATGTTCCACTGGTGGATAAGTTGGTGCTACTTGATCTTGTCGTCCTCTGCTCGTATTTCCATCACAACTATTAGCTGTATTTACTAGTTTAGCATTAACAGATAAACTGTCATATTTATGACATATTTTAATTTGAAAATACATTAAATTCGTCGCCTGTCGTTTCCTGGAGGTTGTGTGATACCACCGGTATAAACTAGACACTGGCTGAAGGACTCACTTGCTGAACTTTTGCTTTTGGATAGACGCTATAATTTACAGATGGTCCCTGAACGCCTCATGTGCAGGTTAAAGTAAAGGCTAGCCAGACTGGTGGAGACCAAAAAGTAGTCGGAAATAAGTAGATTTAGTGAATTAATTAATGTGTGGGCTTTTTTCTACAAGTTTTCTACAAGTGGAGTGAATTTTAAACGTCTGTTGATCTTTTTCATTTATTATAAGAAGCCAAAATCACATTCGTCGTCAGTGTTGGTTTGATTTTGCAGCCGTAGCTCAGCGTTTGCATCGAGGGCTGCCTCTTAATCATGATGCGTTCACACAAATGCAACTGTGTCAGATTTTAACGCTCACACTCACACAAAAAGTCACATTTCCAACCAGCCTGGATAAATTATTAGCTTTTATGAAAATTACAGAATGAAAATAACATTTCCCTGAACAGAGGATGTTTTGATTTTAACGCAGCTTTTCTGAACATAAATGGTTCCTTTAGAAAACATATATGATTTTTATTTGCACAGAAAACTGTCAGCGTTAATATTATAATCCCTTTTAGACCTTCTTGTTGAGCCACAGCAGAAGCCAACGATGTGCTTTAACTTGCTTTTACCTCCTGAATTAAAGTTAAAACTGAGCTTTTTCCTCCAGTATGATAACTTTCACTACATGGATAAAAGTATTTGGACACCTGGTCATTACACAGATAGACATAAATACCAGAAACAGTTGAGCAGCTCGCACAGAAACAGTCTTTGGGGTCAACATACTGTTTATTCCTCACTTTGTTTTCCAAACGCTCTCGACATTTTAACATTTTCAGCTGCTTCACCGTCACCACAAGCTTCTTTAACTTCCATTTTTATAGATTTTATTCATTTGAGCAAAAAGTTTTTGCAAATAACCACAAATAAAACTTTCAAATCCGAGCATCCGTCTGAAGCTCTCGGTGCTCCACCAGCGTCGAGCAGCTCCTCCAGAAACAGTCTTTGGGGTCTTTCTGGTTTATTAAGTGAAACATCAGCCGGCCTCCTCTCCAATTACCGCCGTTTTCCTGCTGTTAACGGTGGAGGCTGATGGGGAGGAGGTCTCTGAAGTTCAGGAAGTGGTTGTTCTGTGGCGACAAGCTTCTGTCTGCACAAACACTAGCGTCGCCTCTTTCCACCGAGGTCGGAGGGTCACTCTGCACCAGCTCACCGAGTGCACCACCTTCCATCCTCAGTCTGACCGACTTCTGTTGAAGTGTTGAATGTCGGTTGAGCTGACCATGTGTACACTCATAGCTAACCTAAAGCAGATGGAGTCACGTCCATGTTTGTTTTCTGTGTGCCAGTCTGTGGATCAGGGTTAGGGTTATCAGCCATACCTGTAGACGTAATGAAGCTGGAGTCCTTAAATTTGGCAAGTTCGTTAATATGTACATGTGGTCTTCAACGGTAAAACCCTGCTCTGACAGATTAATATAAAACAAATATACGATGGTGCAAATGTGGCCAAAAGATGTTCGTGTTTCTTCTGCGCCAATATTCCACCGACCATAAAACCTTGTGTTTCACCCTAAGAGGCTGATTTTCCTCCTTTTTCTGACTGAATAAATCTGAAATTGCTTTTGGTTCCACGTTTCAGAAAACGGTTTAAGCCGCTATACTGTGATTTTCCTTCCCGAGTGGTTTCACCATCAAACCTACGCAATGCTTGTTCAAGTATTGGCTATAAATACAAAAAAACATAGTTCTAATAATTTTTTTCCTCATAAAGTTTGCCTCTGACTGGCACCAAACTCTACATCTTTAAAGCTCCTGTTGGTGCCAATCACAGGAGAAGTAATCAGCCTCTTGGGCTGAAAAATGGAGGTTTAATGGTTGGTGGAATATGGGAGTAGACAGAAGCTTGGACATGTTTTGACCACATTTGAACCATCATATAACTGGTTGGTGTTATTCTGTCAGAGCAGGGTTCTACCATCGAAGACCAGATGGATGTATCAGTGAACCTATAAATTTCCAGGACTCTAACTACATTATGGTGCCAGTCAGAGGCAGACGTTGATGGTAAAACCACTCCAATAGCAACTGGAAGACTTGTATAATATTACTGGGCTTAAAGGAAAATCGTACTTTTCCAACTCATAGTGCTTTAATGTAAAAAGTGGAACCACAAGAAATGTATTAAGTAAAGAAAAGGGTGAAAGTCGGCCTGTTAGGGTGAAAAATAAGGTTGAACCACCATATAACTGGTTGTTCTGTCAAAGCAGGGTGGTACCAGTGGAGACCACATGAACCTAGACAATTTCAGGACTCCAGATGCAGTATGTCCGAAGTATTAAAACCTTTATTTTTCGCCTTAGCAGGCTGATTGTTTCTCCTGTGATTGGCACCAATAGGAGCTTTATAAATGCAGAGTATGGTGCCAGTCAGAGGCACTGTATGAGGAAAAAATGATTGAAGCTAAGGCCATGTTTATACGTAGCAGAAACGATGATATTTCAATGTGGTTCACACTTAAACGAAGCTACAAGTCCGAAAACCATCACTCCGGCCAAAGTGGCGATTTGGTGAAACTCTATCATTACGTTTACGTGTAGACGTAGGAGACGGAGTTTGACGTCACAGTGAGCGACCATGTTTACAGTTTGGCTACGTCCATATATGGACTGACATGTTTACAGTTTGGCTACGTCCATATATGGACTGACATGTTTACAGTCTGGATACGTCCATATATGGACTGACATGTTTACAGTTTGGCTACGTCCATATATGGACTGACATGTTTACAGTTTGGCTACGTCCATATATGGACTGACATGTTTCCACTCAGTATTTTTTTCTGGTTCTGTTCTCTAACACCACATGTAGGAGCAGCTCCACGTCTCTGTCGGTCCAAACAAACCACCCCGTTATCGTTGAAGGAACAGGAAGTTTTCGTTGTTGTGTTTTTTCCAGGATTCTGATTGGCTAGCACGGCTTTATGCTTCTCGTTACACTGCCCCCTGTAGGTCTGGCAGCTCATAGCAGCTCTTAACGACGCGTTTATGCAGGTTTGTGTAGACGAATATTTTTTTGAAAACAATCTGGTGTGAACGATGTTATTTTAGAAAACGTAGATCTGTTTTTGTGCTACGTGTAGATGTGTTCCTAGGTTTTGTATTGATGGCCAGTATTTGAGCATCACTGAGCAGGTGTGATGGTGAAACCACTCCAATAGCGTCCCAAATGGAAGAGGTGGAGAATATATACTATTACTGGTCATGGTTTTTGAACTTATCGTGCTGCAAATAATTTGATGAAAACTGGTACCATAAGCAGTTTCAGATTTATTCAGTAAAAATCTGCCTTTAAAAGGTTCCTTTGTTTTTGCCCATATTGGCTCCATCATATAACTGGTTGGTTCTGTTCTGTCAGAGAAGGGTGGCACCACTGGAGACCACATGAGCCTGTGCAAGTTCAGGACTCCAGCTACAGTAGTTCTCAAGTTGTAGGTCTTCAAACATTGATCTACAGATTAAAACGATGCAAAACTGGATGACCCAACTCAAAACGGAGCCTTAATCTAACCCCTGTAGCCAAAGAGTTTACAAGTTTTACCAAATAACAGAAAGAACATCAGACGAACACGATTCTGCTGGTGAATGAGGCTGAATGACCGCAGAGGTTGAATCCACAAACTGTCTTCTTTCATCGTCTGTCGGAGGCTAAACTCTGAACCGTTTGCGTTGCAGGTGACGCCCTGAAGTCCTCCGAGGACGAAGAAGACGACGAGTCCTCCTCGGAGGAGAACAAGCTGTCCAACGAGCTGTCGACGAGCAACGAGAAGCTGCAGCGTGAGCCTCCGCCGCCGCCTCAGCTCAGTCTCTGCTGTGTTTGAGTGTCTCTAATGATGGTAATCAGGGTGTTTACCTCCCGGCTCTAGCGCTGGCGCCGCAGTGGGTGACGCCGGACAAGATGGAGAAGCAGCTGCACGCCGTCCCGGCCAGCAAGACGGTCAAGTTCAGGTGCCAGGCGACTGGAAACCCGGTTCCCTCGCTGCGCTGGTACAAGAACGGGAAGGAGTTCAGGAAGGACCAGAGGATCGGAGGCTTCAAGGTGCGTTCGTGGCCGTAAAGGTCAAACGTCAGACGTCCAGACTGGTGTGTTAACGAGATTTCATTCATCGTTTCTGTGTTTTCCAGATCAGAGACCACATGTGGACTCTGATCATGGAGTCAGTGGTTCCCTCCGATAAAGGAAACTACACCTGTGTGGTGGAGAACGAGTACGGGAGCCTGAAGCACACCTACCTGCTGGATGTAGTCGGTAAGACGGGTTATCAGTCACTGATTGGTTAGTTGCTGTTGATAAATTAACCACCTGAGCCCCAGAACAAGCTTGCAGATCTGATATGAATGTTTGAAAAATGTATCAGTCAGACTTCAGCTTTCCCACAGTCTTTGAACTGATCATCGCTGACGAGTGATTCCATCAGAAAAATCTACCAGATCTTACTCAGACTGATGTATTGATTATCAGTGTTCAACAACTAAGTTATTGCCTGATCACAATTTAATCAATGGTTACATCTGTACACACTGAAGCTGTTTTATTTATGAATATAACGAATAACTCTCCTGCATCATAAGTACTTGCACTTCAGCTTCTGGACTCCAAAACCCACCAATAGGTCTCTAAAAAAATCTCATTTATCAGCCAGAAACAGCCGGAAAAATATCAAACTTAGCAGAACATCTTTATATTTCATCAAACCCACTTTCTCCTATAAACAAACGTGTTTCCACCACTTCCTGTAAAAACTTTATTCCTCAACACAGCTAAGTCTCCTTCGGTAACTAATTTAGGACATACACGACCTTCTTCTTCTTCGTCGGTTCATATATTTTTGGTTGGTTAAATTAATGGTTTAATTGTTCAAACTGTCTGAACTGTTCGTTTCTTCATGTCTCTGCAGACGTATATTGTTGTCATTTCTACCTCGTTCATCGTGTTGTTTTAAACCTCTGTGCTGCAGAACGTTCTCCTCACAGGCCGATCCTGCAGGCCGGACTTCCAGCCAACCAGACCGCGGTCGTCGGCACCAACGTCGAGTTTGTCTGTCGAGTTTTCAGCGACCCGCAGCCTCACATCCAGTGGCTCAAACACATCACGGTCAACGGCAGCAGAGAAGGACCGGACGGACACCCGTACGTCCTGGTTCTGAAGGTACAGACGCCCCCATCAGGCAGCGAGAACGTTGATGTCCGTTTAGCTTCAGACTCTCCTCAGTTGTTCTGATTAGCATTTCCAAACTCTGAACCAAGCATTAGCATTAGCATTAGCATTACATCACTTGTTCAGTAAAATCCTGTTTGTTGTTAGAAGTCGTCACATATGAGGAACAATTTCTACTCCACCGTCTTAAAACTTTCAGAGATTTTTGTAGCATAAAATATGGGTACTTTTAAAGATACTGTAGATTAATATCTCAGGAACTAATAAAGATAAAAACCTGTTTTGTAAAAGTTTGTTTTTATGGTAAAACTTGTCAAAGCTGCTCCATCAGTTATGAAAGCACGATCTGCTTCTTCAGATGGAGCTTCATCCATCTTCCTGGAATCGCCTCCTTCTGACAGCAACATGAATAACATCTGACTGAAACTAACATCAGGTCCACATTTAAGAAGCTGCAATCACAGAATTTAGACAGCTCTTCCCTTAAAAATGACTCAAACTGATTAATCGATTGTCAAAATAGTTGCTGATGAATCGACTCGTTGCAGCTGTTTGACTATAAATGAAGCTTCGCTGCAACCAGAATCCATCAGGATGTTTAATTTCAGCTGACAGATGTGTGATTCTGCTCACAGCCGAGCTCTTTTCCAGCTGCAGAAGCCTCAGAGTTGGTTTAGAAACCTGCTGCAGCTCAGTCCTGAGTCTGTGGGTCATTAGAAACCATGGCAGCAGCTATCGGATCGATCCAGAGCCGGAGCTGCTTCGTCTGATGTTCGGCAGCCTGCAGCAGCTCTGGATGATTTACTGTCGCGTCTGAGCTTTAACCTTCCCTCGGCGGCTGAGTCGGCCTCTCTGTTGCATGACATGGTTTCATTTGTCTCTGACAGCGCAGTCGGACCACATCTGTGAAGTGTTGTGGACTCGCCACCAAAGACAGCTCGGTTTGTTGTGGGAGGCCTGCAGCCAGCCGCCTCGCACGCAGCTTTATTTTAACAGTCAGAGGAAAAGCTCAGCCTCATGATTTATTAGTACAAGTTTGAAACAGAGTCCGATCAGCGATTCACTGATTCCTGGGCCGGAAATATCAGCAGCAGGCAGAGAGATGAAGAATCTGACAGCAAAACCCGGCACTGAACTGGACCGGTACCAGTAAGGTAGTGGGAAGACCGAAGAACTAAAATAATAAGATGAGTAAAATGACATCAGAGTAGGCTGAAAAGATTCTGTGACAGTTGGATCATTTCATGTAAAAGTTCCCCCAGAACCTCCTCAGAACATCTGGTTCTGGTTCTGCAGCACCTTTATCTACTGACCAGAGTTCTGCCTTCAGACTGTGAATGTTCCAGAGGTCCAGGTCCTTGAAGTCCACAGAGGAGGGTCCAGATTGATCACTTTAATGGACTTTTTCCATCATTTCTGAGCCTCAGAACTTCATCAGTACAGCAGATAGACACATGACATTTAGGAGGAAGAACACATCTGGGTTCTGCTAGAACCTGACACCAGATCAGTTCTACATCCATCCAGGTGTCTCAGTCTGAACACTGGACCTGGTTCTGTTCATTTCCTCTATAAAGCATCAGTATTATGGGATGTCAGTGTCACAAAGACACAAATCTGTCCCAGAGACACGTAGAAGGATCCAAACGTCACGCTGAAATACAAAAACAAGACACAAAACGACACCAAATGCCAAAAACAAAGGAAAAACTTTCCCAAAAGACACATTAGGCAACACAAAAGTGATGCAAAATGACAGAAAGGAGACAAAAAGATGACAAAGATGAAAACAAAACAACAAAAACAAGACACAAAACAACACAAAACAACAAAAACAAGACACAAAACGACACAAAATGCCAAAAACAAAGGAAAAACTTTCCCAAAGACCCATTAAACAAAACAAAAGTGACGCAAAATCACAGAAGGGAGACAAAAAAAATGAACAAGATGAACACTAAATGACGACTAAACCAGTTTTACCTCCGTCCTGGTGTCTCAGTCTGAACACAGATGGTTCTGGTAGGTTCTGGAGGTACAACGGTCCTTCCATCGTCTAGAACTGGTTCTGACCAACCACCATCACACATGCTGATACGAGCCTGGAAAGTTTACCCAGAATGCACTTTGTAAAGTTTCAAACTGTGATACATCCCATAATACTGATGCTCAGAGCTGGTTGTTGGTAGACTGTTGTAGGACTCTGTTGTAGCTGCAGGATGGAAACTGGAGACGAATGTTTCATATTTGAGCCGATCATGTGTTTAAAGCTCTGTTAGTTGGTGTCATGTCTTGTCAGCTCATGATTCTCTCTGCTGTCTGGAAACTTTCTGATATGACGTCACTCAGAACTATTTCTTCGTCTTTGTGTACCGTTCAGATTTTTGTTCATACAGAACTTGGTGCTGCTCAGACTAATCGTTTCCTCGTGTGGCGGACAGACGATTTGTTTTTGTTCGACGCCGTCCTTTACCTAACACAAATATTTCCATGCAGCTTTTCTTTTGAAACCAAATCGTTAGTGTTTCTCGTTCTGCTGTAAACATGTGGAACCTGCAGCTCAACAAACTTTAAAGTTTAAAAGAATCTCAAAGAAGCCTTTAATCAGAGGAAATGATGATCAGTTCCCTCGTTCCTGTTTGTACCAAGCAGCAAAACGTCTTCCTTCACATCTCGTATGTCGATTCTTAAATGTGCAGTAAAACAAAATAGTTCTAACTTTACATATCAGAGGTTTTTTCTTACTCGTCTTTCAGCAGGAATCAGCTGAAACACTTAAATCTGAATGATGATAATATCTGTATCATTTCTGATATTAATTTTCTCAGTGCAGTATTAGCTTTAGTTTTAAGTGTAATGTTTAAATTTCTTTAACGTGTGTAATATCACTTTATTAACTCAGCATCACACTTCTTATTTTTGTATTCTAGTTTTATTTTAGCTCATTTATTTCTGTTTTCAGTGATGCATCGTGTTAATATCTCATCGCTTTCCTAGTTTTTAGATCCTGCATTTATTCTCATGTTGCATAATTTAGTTTTTTGAGCAAATATCTTGTAGAATGACCACAGAGAGACGCAAATGACCAAAGAATACAAACAAAACAACTACAAACTGAGACAAAACAACCAAAAAGGACATAAAATGACCAAAAAAGAAGCAAAATCACCATAAAAGACTCAAACTTGCTCAAAATTGCACCCAAAGTGACGCAAAACAACCAAGAGAACAACGAAACAAACACAAAAAGCAGCAAAATGACAACAAAGAGGCACAAAATACATAATATTAGAAGTATATAACTGGTAAATAACTATAAATCGTATCTCAACACATTCACAGTTTGGAATACTAACTGAAGGGATTAAACTAGCAGATAAAGATCATAAACACATCTTTTATTATTCAGTTTTTAGTCTTTCCAGATGTATAAATAAACTTCTTTTTAATCCGACTAGAAGCTTCAACCAGACCAATGATGTGTTTCTGTCTCAGACTGCAGGTCTGAACACGACGGACAAAGAGATGGAGGTGTTGACTCTGAGGAACGTGACTCTGGACGATGCAGGTGAATACACCTGCCTGGCGGGGAACTCCATCGGCGTGTCGCATCACTCGGCGTGGCTCACGGTGGTCAGCGGTACGTCAGACGAGCTTCAGCAGCTTCACAAGGTCATAAAACCCTCTGGCTCTCTGTTGACATTCGTGTCCTCCCTCCTCAGACCTGCCGCCGTCGCCGCTGCCCTCCCAGACCTACCTGGAGATCTTCATCTACTGCCTCGGCTTCTTCATCATCGTCATCCTCACCGCCACCGCCGTCGTCTGCCGGCTCTGCTGCGCCCCGAGGAAGAGCGACTTCAGCAGCCAGCTGGCCGTCCAGAAACTGGCCAAGAGCATCCCTCTGAGGAGACAGGTGAGGACTTACCTGTCCCGGTCCTCCTCGGCTCTTCAGTTCAGACGCTCACTTCTTCTTCTTCTTCTTCTTCTCTCTCGGCAGGTTTCAGTCGAGTCCTCGTCCTCGCTGCAGTCGGGGATGTGTTTGATGCGTCAGTCCCGACTCTCCAGCGCCGCCACCACCATCCTGGCAGGAGTGTCGGAGTACGAGCTTCCCTACGATCCGGTTTGGGAGCTTTCTCGAGATCGGTATGACATTTTTTTTTGACTGTTTCTCTTCTGTGCTGCTCTCTCAGATCTGGCTCTGTGTTTCCTGACCTGATTGTGTTTGTTCTCTTCAGGCTGACTCTGGGGAAACCTCTGGGCGAAGGCTGCTTCGGTCAGGTGGTTCTGGCCGAGGCCGTCGGGATCGACAAAAACAAACCCACTCGCCTCACAAAGGTGGCCGTGAAGATGCTGAAAGGTGAGTGGCAGCATCATGATGAAGCACGGTGGTGGCAGCATCATGATCTGTTCGTCCTGCAGACTGTGATTCGGTGTGATTTCTATATTTTTGATACCTGGCTGTTGTTTCAGCCGACGCCACTGAGAAGGATCTGTCCGACCTGATCTCTGAAATGGAGATGATGAAGATGATCGGCAAACACAAGAACATCATCAACCTGCTGGGCGCCTGCACTCAGGACGGTGAGTCTGGTTCCGTCCGGATCACACTGAACTCTGCAGGTTGTGTTTTGGTAACTGACTGGTTTGTTTGGTTCTGACCCGACCGGAGCAGGTCCTCTGTACGTGGTGGTGGAATACGCCTCGCAGGGGAACCTCCGGGAGTATCTTCGTGCCCGCCGCCCGGCCGGGTTGGAGTACTGGAGCGGGTCGCGGCAGGCGTCGCTGGGCAGCGTGGAGGTCCGAGATCTGGTGTCGGCCGCCTACCAGGTGGCCAGAGGGATGTCTTACCTGGCGTCAAAGAAGGTCAGAGACAGTTTCTGCTGTCAAGTCATGTTGAATTTACATATTTGTTTTAAAAGTGTCTCTATCAGCTGAATGTGAACGTTGCTGCTGCTGTTCATGTTTGAATTTGTGTTTTTGTTTCATTCGTGCGACCCAATATGTCCATTTGGATCTGGTTTTTAGGAAGGATAAGAGCTTAGAAGTTAAAGTGAAAGTGGCGTCAGGTGTGCTGGTTTAAATCCTTAATCGACAGACGCTAGTGATGATGCTGATATCTTTGTGCCTCCCAGATGCACTGTGTCTGTTAAATCTATAAATAAACTAAAACAGAGCAGCTGGCTGTGTGTTAGAGGGAATATAAAAGCTGCTCTATTGGGTTATTTCTTATCTCTTCCACTTGTTTCCTGGTCCAGTGCATCCACAGAGATCTGGCAGCCAGAAACGTCCTCGTCACCGAAGATAACGTGATGAAAATCGCCGACTTCGGTCTGGCTCGAGACATCCACCACATCGACTACTACAAGAAGACGACAAACGTACGACAAAAACAGGATTTAACTTTAATTCACTGAATGTAAATAAAACACGCTGACGTTTCAACCTCCTGCAGGGTCGGTTGCCGGTGAAGTGGATGGCTCCTGAAGCTTTGTTCGATCGTATCTATACGCACCAGAGTGACGTGTGAGTGTCTGAACACTTCCTGTTCTTTTTTATTTAACCTGTTTGTGCTGCAGCGCCCCCTGCTGTGTGGAGGCTGCACAGTCGGTACATAAACAACAAGCTGCTGGTTTTTAGGTGTTTTTAAAAGGTACTAACTGGCTGATATTTTAATAAATGGAAGAATTTCTTTTTATGCATTTAGTATTTCAAGAGTTTCTGTGATGATTACATGACAAAGGACATAGCTGAATGAGGAAACAGCTGCCTAAACTGTCTCACCAGCTGTTTTGTTTCTACCTTTTATCAGATGTTTAACTTTACGATGGTCTTTGAACGCATCATGTAAAAAAACAAAATAAAACAAAAAAATTAGGAGACGTTAGAAAAATTCTAACTGTAATTCTTGGAAATTTATTAAAAGTTTGAGTTCAATTTCCTTCAAAACAAATTAAATTTCTAAAGGCTCCGTTCAAACTCTACCACCATATATGACAAAAATATTGACTTTCTGAAGCTAAAACCAGCAAATCATTCAGATATTTTCTTGTAAAGACGACTGTAACTGCTCTTTAGATATAAACTCAGTCTGCTAACATGCTACAGGGCTACAAATAATTCAATAACACTCATTTTCAGCTCTTTAACTGAGTCCAGTTCCCATTAATTTAATCATATCAGTTACAGACAGCTTGAAATGTGATATAATAACAAATAGCTGCAGATTATTTAATCTCTTCTGGTTTTATTGTGAGGCAGGTGTTAAATTAAACTATACATGGTGTTAAAAAGCCTAAAACTTCACCTATTTTTGGTGGTTCTTCAATGATTTTAGTTCATAAATGTTCTTTTTACCACCAGATAACTTCAGTAAAAGACAGAATTTAGCATTTAAACAGCAGTTAGTTCATGTTTTGGGCTGCACAGATTAATTTTCTTGGTGTTCTGCTGCTGCAGCTGGTCCTTCGGCGTCCTGCTGTGGGAGATCTTCACCCTCGGCGGGTCTCCGTACCCCGGAGTCCCCGTCGAAGAGCTCTTCAAGCTGCTGAAGGAGGGACACCGGATGGAGAAGCCTTCAGCCTGCACCCAGGAGCTGTAAGTCCATCCAGAAAAAAACCATCAAACTGTCCTCAAACAGCATTTAAATCATATAAAACCACATAAACACACTTTGATTCTATTGCAGCTTTAAAAACTCACACTGTAATGTAAGTTTCTTCCTCTCAGGATCAATAATCTGATTCTGATGTTAATTTATTTTCACACGACTTCGATGTTTGAGGACCTAAAAGCTGAGACGAAGCTGATGAAGCCTGTTTTAGTTTCTTGTCCTGTAAATCATCTGTTGTCCAGTTATCTGCTTTCATTTCATGTTTATTTGTCTCTGAGTTAAGATACTCGCGTTAAAGCGTTTCCTGTGTGGGTCCAGGTATCTGATGATGAGGGACTGTTGGCACGCCGTCCCGTCCAGACGACCCACTTTCCAGCAGCTGGTGGAAGATTTAGATCGGACGCTTTCTCTCATGGCCAACCAGGTAACAGGATGTTTATGAAGATTTATATTCAGTAAAACGCACAAATATTAATCGAGTCCAACGTGTCTTTGGTCCTTGGTGAGACTTGAATGGAATGAATGTTCGTTGACGAGCCTCGAGTCGTGTGAGTCTCAAGTTCTTGATGAACCTCAAGTTGCATGAATCTGGAGTCATTCATGAGCTACGAGTCCTGCATTGCGGTCGAGCCTCAAGTAATTTGAATCAAGTCTTTGACAGGTCGGGCGGTGTGTGAATCCCAGGTCGTTCATGAGCAACGAGTCGCATGACTCTGGGTTCTTTGACAAATCTTGAGCTGCAATAGTCTTATCTTAGTGTCCAGCCTTGAGTCGAGTCAGTCTCTCTTTTTTTGTCAAACCTCGAGTTGCTTTGATTGAAGGCGGTTGCCGAGCTTTGCCGTGCTTCAGTCTTTTGTCGCTTACGGGCCTCGAGTTGCATGAATCTGAAAAAGTAAACGTCAGGTCGATGGCAAGCGTTGAGTCATCAGAGCCGAGTCACGCTTGTCTATTGTTACTGATGAGCCTCAAGTTGCATGAATCTGGAGTTGTTCATGAGCTGTGAGTGGCATGAATGTTGGGTTGTGGTCGAGCCTCGAGTCATTTGAGTTTTGAGTCACTGACGAACCTTGTGATGCGTGAATCTTGGTTCTTTGACAAACCTCAAGTTGTGTGAATGTTGAGTTGTTGATGAGCCTCGAGTCACATGAATCTGAAGTTGTTGATAAACCCCAAGATGAGTGACTCTCATGTCACTGACGAGTCTCAAGTCACGTGAATCCTGGGTTGTTGGCGAGCACTGAGTCATTTGAGTCTCTAGTCCTTGACGGTTGCTGAACTTCGAGCTGCTTGAGTCTTCTGTCGTTTACGGGTGTTGGGTTGCGTGAGTCTTGGGAGGTTGATGAATCTCAAGTCTCGGGTCATTGACGAGTCTTTAGTGACTTGTTTTTCAGGTTGTTGATTGAGTTATCAGAGTCTCAGGTTGTTGATGAATCTCGAGTCTCTTAAATCTCAGATCCTCATCGATGTGTCTCGAGTTGTGATTGTGGGATGAGAATAAATCCCCGGGACTCCCCACTGGACAGTGAGACGAGGACAAAATGTTTTCAAGAACAAAAAGTGTTTGTCAGTGACGAGCCGTGAGTCATCCGAGTCTCGGGTTGTTGGTAAAACATCTTGAAGAACTTAAAAGGAGTCCAGTTACCTTCTACTGAAGCTCTGAAGTTTACAGAAGTGTTTCAGTAAATGTAATCAAACAAAACGTCCTGACTGTCTGTTCTGACCCTGTGGTTCTGCCTGTCAGGAGTACCTGGACCTGGCCGTCCCTCTGGTCCAGTACTCTCCGGTCCAGTACTCCTCGGTCGGCCCATCGGTCCGTTCCTGTTCCTCCACATAGTCGCCGTGGGACCTTCCCTCCTTCGTCCCGTTTCCTGAGCAGCGCTTGGCGGCGGCGGCGGTCCGATTCCAGGCCGAGCTGAGGAACTCAGAGGAGCTGCTTCACCGCAGCCTGATGTGAAGAACATCTGGACTGAGCTGCACTGAGCTGGACTCCCCCTCAGAGGCCTCCGGAAACACAACTTCTCCTCCAGAAGGGTGGAAAGACACTGACAGGAGACCAGCTGAGTCCTGAGCATCCAACCGGTGTAAATACTGTAAATACAAGCTCGCGTTGTACAGAAACCAAACTGGATTTATTAGAGACACATGACGGATAAATAAAGTGGACAGAAGACCAGAAAATACACAACAGGATGTAGAAATCAATCTATAAATGTACAACTCACATGACATCAGCAGGAAACCATCATTTATAGACCAACTTCTCCGTTTTCTGTGTGCATTTTATTTATTTTTCCTGTGCCGTGATGTTGTGACGTTGCCAAAGATGATGTTAAAGTCGATGTACAACTTGCACTTATCCTCCAGCAGTTACACAACATGCTTCTCCATGAATGTGTAAAATAACTGATTAACAGTATTAAAACGTTTGTGAATTTTTAAAGCTCTGCTGTGACTTCATGGACGAGATGTTTGCAGATCTGTAGCAGCTGTTTACATCCCCCATCCAGGAGTCACGTAACTGGACGGGATGGAAACACGCTTTAGTTTACATGTTGTTCTGACGGTTTTCTCCAAATGTGGTTAAAGTTTGGACACAGTTTCCTCTGCAGAGCCTGAAGCTGCGTGTTTTCCTCCCCGCGAGAGGAAACCTGGTGTCTCAGGTGATCGTACATCTTGTTCTTCACTCTGTGACATTTTATTCCCTCTGCAGCTCCGGACTCACATAACGTCTGTTATGGTTTCTGCAGCGATTCCTTCCACCGTCTCCTCAGAGATGGGAATCATTTCCAGAGAAAACTCTCCTGCAGATCCTGTGGGAATAATGACAAGTCCTAAATTTAAATGAACAACCAGGTAAAACTCCACAGAAACAGACAATTTAGAGCCTGGATGTTACTGCACAGGAGTCAAACTTGGATATTAGTGAACAAAAAAAGGTTATTTACAAGGAAAAGCATCAGAAATCTGGATGTTAACGGGAAAAAAATGGACATTAACAAAGAAAAATGTCAAAAACTTGGATACTAATGAAGAGAAATGTGAAAAACCTGGATTTTAACACACAAATAGTACTGAAAAGCTCAACGTTGCTGCACAAAAGTCTAAAAAAAACTTGGATATTGACAAACAAAATTGAAGAAAATTCTATACAAGGCAGAAAAATGTGAGAAACCTAGAGTTAAAAAAAAAAGTAAAATAAACCCAAAAACCTGAATGTTAAACACAAAATTGTGGAAAAAGTGGATATTATTGAACAAATATGTCAAACAGACGTGTCATAATTTATGTCACTACTTAAAGTGTAGCAGAAAGTAGAAGTACTCGAGTAAAGTACTTCAAAATAGAAGTAATACTGTCAGTACAGTGTTTGAGTATGAGCCATCCGGCAGCCATCTTGGTAAACTAGTGGAGGTTAATTCAGACTAACGATCTTAATGAATGTAAAGAAACTGTAATAACAAATTTAATCTGTCACTGGGCATTAAAAATGTAATCATCAGTTAAATCTGATCAATAAAAACGCTTTAAAGTTCAGTGGCTTTGCTCTAAAATGAGCTTTTTAAAGTGATTTTCTCCCAACAGCTCAGAGTTTCACCACTTCCTGGTGGAATCAGTGCGACAACATGATTGGCTGAATCTTCCCGCTGCAGCTGTTAGAAAGCAGGTGATTGGCTGTTTTGGGTGAAGGGGCGGGACTTGTGTCAGGAATCGCCCGTATAAAGAACTCCACTAGAAGTCTGTCCAGGATTATTCTTCTCTGTTCGTCTGCTGAAGTTTCTAAAGTTTCTGCCCTCCATCATCCGGTCAGCAGGTGAAGTCTTCCAGGGGTTTGGTTTGTGGACTAAAGCCTGTGAGACGACTTGATGTTTAGCTGTAGACTGTGTGTAGAGCTAATCAGCTAACGTTAGCATGCTAGCATGCTAAACTAAGATGTGAACATGGTGCTAGCGTTGTTGTTGTGAGCACGTTAGCATGTTTAAAGTAAACTGTGCTAAAGTTCAGTCTCACACACTATTAATCTGGTTAATATGTCTTATTATTAAGCCTCTTTGCTTATTTAATTATTTTCAGAAATGAAAACGTGTTTTAAGAACTGCTGGGAGCTAACTAGCTCATATACTGTTGATTTATCTGTTGGTCAGTTAGCGCCGTACCTGTCAAGGTAACCTGAATGATAACGTAAACTAATGTCAAAAACCTGAATATTAACAAACTCAAGGGTCAAAAACCTTAATATTTACGCACATTTGTCAAAAAACTCCATATTAATACAGAAAATTTATTTAAAAAAATGGATATTGTCAAACAAAAGTCCCAAAAACCTTGATATTAATGCAAAGTGTTTATTAAAAACTGCATGTTAAGGCAGTAAAGTATTAAAAACCTGAATATTTATCATGAAAAATGTCAGATACCTCAATGTTAATGCCCCACAGATGTCAAAAACCTGGATTTTAACACATAGAAGTGTTGAAATGCTGCATATTAACACACAATAGTGCCCAAAACCTGGATAATAATGCACAAAAGACTCAAAGTATTGAATTCCAACAAACAAAATTCTCAAAATATTAAATATTAATGAAGAAAAGTGTCAAAAACTTGGATATTAACAAACTAAATGGTCAACACAGTGAATATTTATCCACATTTGTCCTAAAAACTCCATATTAATGCAGAAAATATATTTTTTAAAATGGATATTATCAAACAAAAGTCCCAAAAACCTTGACATTAATGCAAAGTGTTTATAAAAAACTGCATTTTAAGGCACTAAAGTAACAAAAACCTGAATATTTATCATGAAAAGTGTCAGAAACGTCACTGTTAATGCCCAAAAGATGTCAAAACCCGGATTTTAACACAGAAGTGTCAAAAAAAGGAAAATAATGCACAAAGGTGTCAAAATATTGAATTCCAGCAAACAAAATTCTCAAAAATCTAGATATCAATAAGGAAGAGTGTCAGAAACTTGGATATTAACGCAGGAAACGGTGAATAAATTATCACCAACATGTTTTTAGGCAGATGCAGAGACCTGTGGTGTGTTTTCTCAGAGCTCTGTTTTCTCAGAAGCGTCGACCTCTCTGGACTCGGTGATGGACGAAGCCCGACGGAGGTTAATGGAGCCTGAAGGAGGCGAGGAGCTGTGGGTGTTTGTTCAGGACAGATGGCGGACTGAGAACCGCTGAGGATCATTTAACACCTCGACCTCCGACCGGCCGGCCTGAACAAACAGCAGCGTGTTGATCTGGTTCTGACGTCTGGTTCTGCTGCTGCTGCTGCTTCACACGTGTTCCACTGAATTTTCAGGGTCAGCGTCATGAATCCGTCCGTCCTCACACCACGTCAGGGATTCACACCTGAAGCCCACCTGCAGCTCGTTGTCCAATCAGTTGTGTTTGTTGAGGATTCCTCTAGGTTTTTATCACACAACTAGAAATTGTGATCAGATATGAGCGCCTGATGGTTGTGGTTAAATGAAACGATGTTGGCTGAAGGTTTGAACACATTTCTATGTATTTCTATCCTCATGTCTCTGTTTCTCTTTCAATCTCTATGAGTCTTTATCATCTTTCCGTCTATCACGTCTCTTACAAATAGAGGTATGTATTTGCATGTTTGGTTCCTATCAGAGAGATGAATCTTCAAAAACACCTCACAAACATCTAAGTGTCATGTCTTTAACAGTGTTCTCAGTATGTGCATCTGTTGGGACTATTTTCAGCGGCGGATTGATCCTCAACATCTGTGTTGAAAGAAGATCAGAGCAGAGCAGGATGAAACAGTTTATTGATCTTCTTTTCTTTTCTTTTCTTTCTCACAGATGTTCTCATCGGCATCAGTGCTGCCACCGTGTGGTCGCTCCGGGAATGACGAGGATCCCAGCTGCTGCTCACCACTCTGGAAACCTGCTGCTGCTGCTGCTGCTGTGGGTTTTATGACTTCAGGAGGAGATTCAAACCTGTGAGTCGTCTGTTCAGCAGATAAGAAGCTGCATGAAAACAGACGGTGAGTTTCTGTTCGAGGCAGAAAACAGGCAGCAGGACGTTTAACGAGCAGGACGCCACCTGGTGACTGCTGGTGGAGGTGAACACGGAGCACAGAGCTTTAAATCAGTCAAAGTAGGAGCACGAGATGTTAAAAACCCTCTAATGAGACATGTTGGAGGTATTTAGAGGAAATATGGCATGGAGGGAACTACAAGTCAAACGATGTGTTTAAGGACCGTCAGATTCTTTTGGTTTTTAAAGATAAATGGCACCATTTTAGTGATTATAAATAAATAAATAAAAAGATTACATGCCTTTTAAACCTGCTGGTGATTTCGGGGTTAAAGTGTTTATCAGGCAGGAGATTTATTCCTTACATTCATAAAAGACTTGTTTGTGTAGAGCTGCAACGATTAATCAACTAGCTGTGAACTGTCAAATTAAGAAACTATTTGATTAATTTTTAAGGAAAAACACTCTAGATTATCTGACTGCAGCGTCTTTAACGTGAATGTTTCCTGGTTTGTTTCCTCCTCTGTGACAGTAAACCGAATATGACATTTAAAAACGTCGTCCTTGACATTTTCTGACATTTTAAAGATCAAACAGCCGATCGGTTGATCCAGGAAACAGCTGACAGAGGAAATAATGATCAGTTCTGGTTCTGTTTGTGTCTAACAATCATCTGACAGTTTATTTTAACGTCTGAAGATACTGTGAAGCTTTAAACTGGAAACACAAATACTGCTGAGCTACAGTTGTTGTGTAAATCTATTGGTTACTTCTCACCGCCGGCAGTTTCTCTGTGATCATGTCTTTATTTACAGTTGTGGAGCTTTTATTGATTGAATTTGGTTTTAAGGTGGAATTTCCCAAAAATACCTCCAGTATCTGTTCAGTGAAGCATCATCAGCTGGTGAACTTCTAGATAAATTAATTTACTTTCATTTGAATCGATTAGTTTTATTTTGACCTCTTTAGTGCAAGAAACTTCCCCCCCGGAGTCAGAACCAGTGGTATCATGGTTTATTTCTAACACAGAACCAGTCGACAGGTTTATTAAACATTACATACAGCTCAGACCAGCAGGACGAAGTCTGGAGGAGCTTCACGACCAGCGCTGAAGCTCCTCCTGGACCTCCGCTGCTCCTGTCCCTCCAGCTACATAAATACACCAGCCTCATAAATTATTAAGAAAATAAATATGATCAGAGTTAAAACACCTGAATCAGGACTCAGGATCTCCTCGGTACCAATAAGAACACGTTAGTAGTCATGACGACGCCGTCCTATTCGTCGGCTTTAGCTTCCTGCTCGTCCACGGACCTCTTCCTGGCGAACAGGTGGGTCGGGTCTCGGCCCCTGAAGCCCGGCTGGACGTTGAACACCGGCATGTTCCTCCAGCTGGACGGGTTGCTGAAGGCGGTCGAACCGGACCCGGCGGCGCACGGCTTGTTCTGGACGAGCTGCAGGAAGGTCTCCATGTCGGGTCCCAGCCGGGCCATGACCCCGGCTCTGACCGCCGCCACCGTCTGCTCGTCGCAGGCCTGCAGCGCCTGCAGCAGAGTACTGTAGTACCTGCAGCAGGAAGTACTCACAGTTAGGCTGTAAACACACACTGTGGTGGAGCTGTGAGCAGCACGACCCTCTGAACCTGTAGTGGTTTCTGGGTGGTTTGGTCCTGCTCCTCTTTAGTTATTACTGACTGCAGCACCAAGTATCTACAGTAGCATTAGCATTAGCATTAGTGCTTTCACCTAAATGCTTTCACTATGTAGTAAAAGTACGTTTACTAAAGTACTTTATGGTGTATTAGTACTTGTATTTAATCAGTAGATGGTAGATTGTTGTACTGAAAACTTGTCTATTTACTATATTTTTTTACTTTGTAGTGTCTTGTTGTTCTGCTCAACAGTAAACTGAATACCGACACAAATGGTAAAATTATCAACAACTTTTAATTAACTCCAATTGTCTAGTTTTATTTATTTTCTTTTTACAAATGTTAGATTCCCCTGAGGATGAATCCTACTGACTGTCGTGTTTCTTTGACTTTGATTCAAGCGCTACTCTGAGGTCAATATTTACATTTTTAAGGACCAAATACCTGCAAAACTAGCAGCCGGTTTAGTGCTAATTAGCTAAACCTAGCATGCTAATATGCTAAACTAAGAGCACTGGCCTCAGGGAGCCGTGAGCATGACGTGATCTGTTCGTTGCTGATGACAGGTGCGTCTGCTCACCTGTTGGGGAAGTGAGTGGGCACCTGCACCACCTCTCCGATGGCGTCAGGGTTGGTACGGGCCACGGTGCAGATGTCCAGACTGGTGTAGCACTCCTCTTGTACCTTCAATAGGACAAAAACGCCGTGACCAAAGAGTTCAGACGGGAACAGAATGAGGCTAAACCAGAATCAGAACCAGAACCCTCATGTCTGTAAACACAGTCGGAGTTCCTTACGGACCTCAGCGATCATCCTCTGGAAGATGTTGCAGCGGCGGATGGTCTGGAAGACTTTTCCTGTGATGCCCTGAGAGATGCAGTGAAGACTCTTCTTCACAAACGTTTTACCCTGCAGAAGAAAAACTGGTCAGACTGGTGTAG